CTTTGCCCTTGTGCAGGTGATCCTTGACTTCGCTTCGGTCTGGTGTCGCCCGGCTTCTTAAAGTACACGATGAAAATACGTTAGACATGTTTCCCTGGAGTCAAACTGATCCCTCTATTCCCGCAGGAGACCATTGACCTCTTGGGGTACGTCTGGGACAAACTCCTTTCCTTCGAGCTGTGGTGATGCGACTTCCCAGGTTCTGCTGCTGCTACGACTGAAGCAAGCACCTACTGAGTGAGCAGTCCGTTTATGTTTGAAACCCAACCCCGGCAGGTGGTCCGCTACATCCTGTTCCATCGTGCCCCAGCTTTTTTGCTGCCTCTGCATCTGATCTGAAAGCTGAGTGACACTTGCAGTTGCAGCTTTCGGCACTTCCTTTGTCATCGCAAGTGTTGTGGTTCGATGGTACAAAAGGCAGTCCATGTCATCCCTAAAGTCGTGATTCGATGGCACATGCATTTGCAGATAGATTTGCATCTTTCGTGTAGCACGTCTGCCATGGAAGCACCTAGTGCCAAGCCAGCTGAGAAGAAAGTCCGGAAAGGCTATGCTCCTAAGGGGCATGTGAATGGGCTAGCAACAGCTCTTGCAGATAGCGAGCCCTGCCGGACCCGGCTTCTTCAGAGGAAGACAGTGCTCAGGTGGCCCGATCCTAAGCTGACCGGTATGTGCACTGGTAGGGCCCTCAAGCTCAACAAGCCCTTGATGCTAGCAGTGGCTTCCATTCTCTGCCCCCAATCCGAGCACAAGTTGGGTTTGGTGGTGAGCAATGTGAAAAAGCAGGCTCGTCCTTCGGGATTGGGAATCGGTGAATTAAAATATTAGGAGTATGGGGTTTAGAATGTTTTCTAAGGTCGCAGTTCGAGTTAAGGTCTTTTCAGAATTTAGGTGTTTCAATACTCGGGGCAGGTCAAGAAGATGCGAGAGGATCTCTTAATGGAGGCCGATCCAGCTTCTGTGCATTGCGAGGGGCATGCCATAAAGGGCTTCCAGACCCTCATCAACAAGAGGTTGTTCGCCTCCAAGAAGAAAAGGGCGGCTTAGCGGCTTCAGGTTGTTACCCTAAACCCTAAACCCTAAACCCTAAACCACCATTATATATTATATAAGTTATGTACTTCCTTCTGTGTTAGACTTAGGATGCAGCTCTGGAAGACCTTTTTGCTGTGTACCGGAAGCACTGGAGACCAACTCAAGAAGAGATCGATCGTGCAAAAGCCCGTGGCATCAAGTTGTGGTGTGTGGAGGGTCAAGGTGAGGGCGATGAGGGCGAGAGCAAGGGAAAGCAAATGGTTGCGGCCGAGGGTGATGACGACGAGGGGTGGTATTATTATGAGGAGGGAGAGGAGGAAGAAGCAGTGGAAGAGGATGCTTATATGGACGATTCTCAAGACTCTACCGCTGATCGAGAGTTGGCCAGGAAACTAGGAGTTCCAGAGGAGTCCTTAACTTCCGCCCCTGAGCCCGCTGTGATGCCCGCCTCCGCTTCTACGCCGACGACCGTCGTGGCTCCAGTCGCCCCCGCAGCTGCCCAATCGATTTCGGACTACCTTGCTGGTGCATACTGGGGTTCACACTTGTCACCGGTGAAACCTCGGCCGACAGACAACGATGGAAGCTCACCCGAATCGTTCAGGAGCCCTCAGTCAACCGTGGCCCCTACAGTGCCCGTGGCAGGCCATACGAATGCTACACCGGGTGTCGAGTCTGAGAAGCCCCCAACAGCCGAGCCCATGGAAGCAGAAGCTGCTGATCGCCAGCTTCGGGCCGAACGTCTTGCACGCATTGCTCTGCTGAAGACCTCAGATAGAATTAGCAATGTTCTATTGAAATCTTTCCTTCAAGACCCCAAACCCTAAACCCTAAACCCTAAGACCCTAGACCCTAAATACCGACGTGTCGTTTTCTTGGATAGAGAGAAGATCTTGGGAACAGTAACAGAAAGTAGCATCCCCAACCCGACCTAGTCCGCGAACATCACAAACACATTTGATTCCTGGGGCCTGAAACCACCAGCCTTTAGGTCCCGTTTTCCTCGGTGTCGCTCAGGAAGAGGATTGCAGAGCGAAAGGCACATGCTGCTGCCGAATCGGCACCCCGAGGCGCTTTTGGTTGCATAAACCAACCTCGCCAACCCTACAAGAAGTAATCCCTAAACCTTAAACCTTATATCCCTAAGCCTTAAACCTTAAGCATCTCAAATCTGCAAAGACTACCCTCGCCAATAATAAACATTAACTCGTGTGAAACAACTTCGACCATCAATCCCAGACGGTAACATCGGGAGCTATTCTTACATAGACCAGCCTCGCCGCCCTAGATTAATTTTATAATCTCTAAATCCTTAACCTCACTAACCATAATCTCTAGACCTAAAAGCTTCAGCCCCGGGCCTCAACTTTGGCTGCTGCTGTTGCATAGCCCAGCCTCGCTACCCCTGGATTAACTACATAATAATACCATTTCTGAACCCTAAACCTCAACCCCAACCCCAACTTCAGGTGCTAGTTTGACATAAACCATCTTCGCTAACCCTAATCTCTAGGATCTAAAACCCTCAGCCCCGCATCTTGACTTCGGGTTCTGCTTTTGCATAGGCCAGCCTAGTCACCCCTAGATAACTTTACAAAATCTCTAAAGCTGTAACCTCAAAGCAAACCTTAACTTTAGGCACGCTTCAAACCCTAAACCCTAAATAGCCTGAACTCCTAGACTGAGTCACAACTCAAAGAAATACACCTTTACCCCAGAAAACTCCTTACGACTCTTTGCTGCAGGAGCCATCGACCCGGCAGAGACGGAGACCCAGGTTCCAGCAGATCCTCCGGCAGATCATGCACGTGGCAAAGGGCCCGGCACAAATACTACAACCAAAGTCTTGCATCCTGCTGCAGCACCCGAACAGCTCCAAGCACATCCCGTAGAACCGCAGAAAGCAGTGGCGCAGGCTCCTACACATGAAGCTTTGCAACCTGCTACCACAGCCGAACTGTCCCAAGCACTCCCCGAGGAACCGCAGAAAGAAGTGGCACAGGCTACCCCACATGAAGCTTTGCAGCCTGCATCCACAACCGATCTGTCCCAAGCACTCCCCGAGGAACCGCAGAAAGAAGTGGCACAGGCTACCCCACATGAAGCTTTGCAAACCGCTGCTGCAACCGTGCAAGCCGAAGCACCCCTTGAGGAGTCACAGAAAGCAAGGGTTTCTTTACCTTTTGAGGGCAAGCCCGAGCTGCTCGAGGATGCTGCATCCCAGAACGGCAGCCAGATCAGCAGCCACATGGACCTCTTCGAAGCAAAGGCCTCCTTGGTGTCCACCGGTATGGATTTGTTTCGGCACTATAGTATCTTGTATAGGGCTTCGGAGTGCCCTTAAGGAAAGTTCATCTGTGTAACTGGTAAAACTCAAACGTTTAGGGTTGGGGGCTTAGGGGTTCAGGGTTTTAGGGCTCCTTAAACCCTAAATCCAGAGAGCTCGCAACTTTGAGGTTATAGTGAACTATAGGGAAGCCTTAAGGCCCAAACCTCTTTTGGAACACAGCCAAGCTCTAAACCTCAACTTCAGACCTTCTTCCTTACAACGACAAACCCCAAACCCTGAACCCTCCCAAACCCTATAAACCCTACAAATCCTAGGCCCCTACAAAAAACCCCAAAGCATAAAGCTCACGAATGCCCAACAAGTCAAATTACACCCTACTCCTCTCCCACTTTGCAGGAGATCCTGAAGAGACGGGATCAACGTGACTTTGAGGAGATTGCTGAGCAGGCTACCTCAAGGGGCCGTGGTCGAGGTAGGGGCCGTGGCAGGGGCCGTGGCAGGGGCCGTGGTGGCCCTAAGAAGCGACCGGCTGCTAAGTGTGCACCGGCAAAGAGACCGGCTGCTAGGTGTGCACCGGCTGGTGCAACTGCTGCGACTTCAGGAACTGTTTTATCGAAGCGAAAACCGAAGCCGACGCTGATGCTAGCAAGAAGCCTCCCACGAAGATGTCACGACTGTCACGATCTTCCGAAGAAGGCCCGCCAGAGGGCGGCAAAAGAACATTCGCAAGGCGATCCTTCCCCAGTGAGGGCCCGACTCGCGAGAAATGGATCGGGCTCAAGGAGGTCTTTGAGAGCGAGCTGGGTCCGAAGTTTCGTTTCCCTAGCAAATATGAGGACTGCTACAGGGCCCACTAAAGAAATGGTTGCCATAATGTAGGTTTGGGACCTTTGGGAGCTTGGGTTTCAGGGCTTCAGGAAGGAAAGGTTGAGCTTTAGTGTTCGCCTCATTTCGTTGTATGTGTTCTTGCAGGATGAGTTCTGGAAGTTCTTCACGAGCTGGACCAGCGGGGATGCCAGCTTGAGAGTCGCATCGGCTTCCACGATCAAGATCAGGGCTCTTGAGCTTGTGCATAAGTTTCTGGAGGCCCAGGCCTCGAAAGATCAAAAGAAGAAGTCTGCACCATCAGATTGAGCGATGCGGTTGTGTTAGAGATATTGGTGCAGCTAGGCCCCAGGTTTCGAAGGCAGCCTGCTAGAGCCTAGCTAGTTTTGCACTTGTGCTGAGAGGCCTTGCCTATTCTGCTAGAATGCTAAAATCCCTAGGTATCTTAGATGGTTATAGCATCCATTCTATATCTTGTGATAGCAAGCCTCCTGCCTGCTTTTGGAAGCGAATGTCCGCTTCTTCCAGATGTGCCAGCAAGACATAGCTGCCACCGCCTGCGAGCCACGAGTGTCAACTCAGTACGTTTCACCCCTCTAAGCTCCCGAATCTCGAACCATAAGACTTAAAGAAGCTCCAACCCTAAACCCCAAAAGCCTAGCCCTGAGCCCTGGACCCGACTACGCCCCTAAACCCTAAACCCCTAAACCCCAAACCCTGGGACCGTCCTAAACCCAAGGGGCAGCTATGCAAGTGCTGGAGTGTCTTTAGTACACTACAACTCAATGGGATCCTGGCTCCTGCGACATACTAGCATCTAATGTGTGGTGTGTAACTCTATAATGTGTTATATATATGTATAGTTTTTGTATTCTGGCACAACAGCAAGTGGATGCATTCTCTCGCTAGACGAGCTGGGTGGGGATCGGTGTGCACACGCTGTGCGATCATCGTCAGTTCCGCATGGGGCCACAAAAGAGAACGTTCTTGCAGTTCTGTGTAGATGCATGCTAGACCAACGAGCCCTTCCTCGCTGTGATCCGCCAGGTACTTCTTCTGCTGGCAGCCACGAGCCTCCGAAGGGGCTTGGGGGCTTTCGCCAAAGCTGGGGCGATCCCGGCTCCGGACGGACATGTTGACACTTGCCACCCCGCCAGGTTTTGAGGGAATGTGCTCTTATGCAAGACCATCTATCGCTCTGCATTGCTTCCCTGTAGATGCAGATTGGTGTTCAAGAGCACGCCGCATGTCGTTGTCAGAACCCGTGAACAAACCGGTAGTTGATTTTACTTCAAGAGTCAGCTATTTGGGCCTTCTCGACCATCAGCAGCTCTGCCACCTCATGAAGTAGAGCTGGTCCTCGGATGTTTGGATGGGATTACAAAGAGCACCTCTGCTGAATAGTTTGGGGGAGTTCTGTTTCGAGCTTTCGACCAAGCTACATAGACAGCACTTTCCGAGTAACCAGGTCTACGTCATTGTGATCCGGACGACAGCTGCTTGCAACTGCCGAAGTCCCCTGGCGGGTTTTTTCCTTTCTGCATTCAGGGCTTTGGATTCGCCAGCCTCTGTCCCGCAGCCTTAAACCCTTCTGCACCTCACGCCTTACCTAGCCAACCTGATCCCTAAACCCTATCGGGGCCCTAAGCCCTACACCTCACGCTTTTGACTTCCAACCTCTAAACCCTAAATCCTTCCGGAGCCCTAAGCCCTGCACCTGACGCCATAAACTACCCACCTAATCCCTAAACCTTAACCTGATCCCTAAACCTTAACCCGAGACCCTTGAAGTCCAGACCTGGGTGCCTTGTTTTTGTTCCTCGTCCATAAGTTCGTTCTCAGGAATTACAACCCTGAACAACCTCCTAAATCCTAACCTCAGGACTGTAGCTGCACTGAGTAGCACGAGTGCTGCAGCCCACATAACCCTAGTGCTTCATAAACCCCTGACTCTCTGTAACCGCCGAGGCCCTCTTAGCCGTAGCAGCCAAGTGTTTCCTTGGAATGTCGTTTTGAGTGAGGGTGCGCTTGAGTCATCAGAGATTGATTAGGATGAAGAGGTTGCGACTTTTAAGATGGGATTCTTTACGATATCACTGCTGTGGAAATGATCTGTCAACGGAAAGTTTCTTGGTGAGGTATTAGTTATACTACTACTACTACTACTACTACTACTACTACTACTACTACTAGTACTATTACTACTTACTACTTACTGCTTACGACTTACTACTTACTACTTGCTACTTGCTACTTTGCTACTTGCTACTTACTACTTACT